ATTAGTATCATAAATTATAAATTATAAATTATATAAATTGGCTAGCATTACTATTATAAAATTATATATAAAATTACATATATCTATAACATATATAATATACTGGTTAAACATATAAAATCTATGCAAAAAATAACATATACAATATACTGATTAGACATATAAAATCTATGTAAAATTACGTATACAATATATTGATTAGACATATAAATTCCATATTTTTTTGCATACGGAAAAAGACGACTTTCAGTATCTTGTATACGGAAATATTTACGAATTTATTATACTATTTTTCTACGTTTTTTATACATTTTTTAAACGTATTATTTCCGTATACTTTCCTTATACTGATTATTTATAGGGTCAGAGTTACAGAAATCCCCCTGGATTCTACAGAACACAGGATTAAGACAACATTTGCCCGATTTGGAATGATCGTCTATTTCACCATGAAAACAAAGAATATGTGGTAACAAGCCACTATTATCTTCGTGGAAGACGCTAATTTCAAGAGACTAAAGGCTTGCTATGGTCTCTTCGTACTAAATGACATGGTCAGAGTCAACATGTGTGATCAATTTTGCTCATATATTCTAGCACATTCCAAATTTTCAGCGAAACTTGCTGGTCTTCCTCGGTTTACGACTGGTAAACAACTTAAGAAAATAGGAAGAATGGTTGACGCTATTGCTTGGGTTATCCCTAAAGCTCATTCTAACTACCATAATCTATAACACACATTTTTTTATTTTGCCAATGCAGATGATTTTGAAGCTGCTATTTCTAATGAAAATCTTACCATAGATGGCAAACACGTGACTTGGACTGAGTCAAAAGCAAAGCTTTGTGCTATTTGCTTGTCATCAAACCATAAAGCTAATAGATGTCCACGACGTAGGAAATCTCTAGCTGATTGAAACATGCAAAATCTTTATCAGAGATTCCAACTGGCACAATACTCCAATTATAAGGTTTCACCTAAAAATATGAGAGGCGCAGTAAACCCGGACATTACTTTTGCCCATGTTACTAAACCCCTATCTACTACGCATATCGCTTCACAATCTACTCCACCAAAAAATAATAATAATGACAACAATACGCATGACAACAATAACAACAAAAACAAATCACCTTCTCATTCCAATAACAAACGAAATCCCCAATCTGGTTCATGGTCAGATGATATTCCGCCAAATATAAACAAAGAAATACTTTTCGATAATACTATCTGTCTTACACCCAATGGCACGATATGTAAGGGTACTAAAGCAGGTGGATCTATGCACGCAAACACTGACGAGGATTTCAAAGAATTCGTCAAATCCCAATTTAATAGTCTCTCTGAAAACTTGTGCATAATTATGAGCACCCTAGCTTTTACCGTTAAATGAGTGGAATCAGTTGAACAATCTCTTAACATCAAAGTCATCATACCAGAAGAAGCGGACGTATTCAATATGAACGCGGATGAAATGATTGATGACATTGAACCATCTATCGACCACCATTCTTAAACAACAAAAGACCATTGAAGGCCTCAGAAATATCAATGCCATGCATCAGAACCGCCTTAAGTCCTTCACTACAACGGTTAATACTCTAGTTCAATCGTGTGCTGCTTTTCAAAACGTACTTTTGAAAAATAATTTGCTTCCCCAAAAACAGGCCAATAATATCTTTCCACTTAGTGTAATATTTGATACTGATATTAAACGTTATATCAATGACTTCCTAAAATATTAATTTTTTTTAATGAATACTGTACCTACTGATTCTAATGCACAAGGTGCATCAATTCATAACACAACCCTTTAAATCACGTTCCTCCTCCTTTTATATCTTTTGCCTCACATAATGTCTGCAGCTTCACTAATACCGCTAAACAACATACACTTTTAGAACATTATTCCTCACTTAATATAGATGCAATCGGTCTACAAGAAACTAATTTTCATCAACAATATTGCAAACCCTTCAATAGAGAACACTCAAACTTCATAGGTTTCTTTAGCTCTGACCATATGAATCCTAAAACTGGTTTTGGAGTAGGCATTCTTTTAAATCCGATTTTGGCTAACCATGTTTTTTTTCACCATCATAGATTGAATCATATTATTTATGTCGATCTCCAATTTCCTAACAAACAGAAATTACGTTTATCAATTGTTATCTTCCACCTGCTGATATCGTTAAATGGAAGAAGATACAGAAAGAATTAATTAAAATTATTAATGAAGCTATGGCAAAGGATTTTCATATTGTTTTATCAGGCGATTTTAATGCAGATATGGATAGACCTCATAATTCTAACAGTGCCAAAGAATTTTTTACATCGCTTCAGAATCTTCATTTATTCGACGCGTTTACTCTAAAGCATAGTAACAATCATGTAAATTACCCAACTTTTACTTCGTTCTCCTCAACTTCTCGTATCGACTTCGTCTAGACTTCTACAGAATTTGCTTTCAATTTCACTACTTGCAATACCGAACCGGTTTTACTACAGATATCAGATTATGCGATTGTTATATGCACTATTGAAAATTTTCTCAACATTAAAAACAACAAACATAATATTTCAATGAAGACCGTATATGATTATGACAAAATGAATGAGGAACTTTGGACTAAATACAAAAGTAAACTCGATGGACTGGTCAACAGTTGTGAACTGCGCATCCTTAAATTTAATTCAAAACTCAACCAGACGAAACTCAATCATTATTAGGACTTGCTGCAGGTCTGCATTATTAAAGCAGCTGATCAAATTATACCTTCGCATAAATCCAATGGTCAACATAAATTGAAGAAACCACCTTTACTATCCAAATTATATTCGAAACTTCATTTCTTATATAAATTCATTAAGCAAGTTAAAATTGCATGTCAGACAAATAATTTGCCACAGGATTAGGCATCATTCTCTATTAAGTTCTATGATCTCGCTTAGGAGTTTAGAACTAACCTAGTATCCTTACCACCTCTTCCTCCAGTTGTCCTCCTACAATCATTATTACCTTATTCCAAAATGATACTTAATTGTATTCTCGTCAAAACTAAACTTCATGAGCAAGAGTTCAAATTAAAGTCGATTCAGCAAGCAATTGAGTCTAGGCTTGATAACTATGCTACAGCTCCTTCTCGTATGATTGACTCAGTCCTCAACCATTCAAGAAAAACCATTATTTTGAATAGATGTCTTGATCCAACCTCGTCATCACATGACCTCTTAACAGATGAAACACTTGTTAAGAATGTAACTAATCATCACATCCAATTTGCAGCTGGCACTTCTCATGAGAATAAGGATATCCCAGATGATTGGAGTCAATCTTATAAGCCAGTGGATTATGTAAGTGTGACTATTTATAATGATCTTATAGCCTTACCAACAGCTGACGAATGGTACAATGTCTTCACTACTTTGCCGAATGGTAAAGCTCCTGGTCCCTCTAAGGTATCGAATGAGATGCTTAAAAATTTGGGTCCTCACACGAATAAAATACTTTGGTATATCATTCAGTTTTGCGTGGCTGATTTTACACTTCCCCATCGATAGAATCATGCGTTTATTTATCCAATTCCGAAACCCAAACCGTGGGAATATGATTTAAATAACACAAGGCCGATCACACTATTAGAATGCCTTCGCAAAGCTCTTATTAAACTGCTCAATAGAAGACTCTCAACTATTATAATTTGACATAATATCTTGAAGGGACTTAATTTTGCGGGACTCCCTTATAAATCAACATTCGAATCAATTCATATCGTAGATAACATTAAATACGATTCAATTATCAATAAAAAAGATCTTTGAATTTTGATGCAAGACATGTCTAAAGCTTACGATCGTGTAAATTTATTCATGCTTGTTCGTGCACTTTAAAGATTGCATATCCCGTCAATTTTATCCGATTCATACTTAAAATGTTTGGCAATCGCTTCAACCAAGTTTTTACTTTTTTTGGAATTACGGATTCTTACAGAGTCGCCTCAAGTATTGATCAAGGAGAGATTTTCTCTTCTCTTTTGTGGTGTATCTATTATGATCCACTCTTATGCAGAATACATGATTCCCCACTCGGTTACATTCTGTCTCATCAATGGAAACTGGATATTTCTACTAGTGATACTTTAACTGAATCTGTTAAGATTGCTACGCTTGCATACATGGACAACACTCTATGGATTGCTAAATCAAGAGAAGATCTTATTAAAATTATGAAAATTGCAGACAGTTTCTATGATCTTAATTTCATTAAAGTTAACTGGGAAAAATCAGTTCTTCTTACAAACAACGACAGACTCTGTCAGTCTATCAATCTACCTTCTATCAATGGCACGATCACAATCACTCCTCATTCTACTAATGACTCAGCGAAATATCTGGGTGTATGGATATCTTTAGGATCTAACAAATCATTCATTAGTAAATCTATCACCAATAAAATTAAATCAGCGGTTTCAATCTTGAATCATAAATGATTGACTGACAAGCAACTAGTTTATATATTTAATTTGGTTTTGATCACACGCATTGAATACCACTCTCAATTAACGTTTTTTACTAAAAAATAATGCAAAGTGATTGTGTCACCTTTTTTCACCTTCATGAAAAAAAATTAAAACTCTCACGTGAAACCCCATCATTGATTCTTCATTCGCATCTCTTCTATAACTTAACTGACTTTTACCAATGGCTCCTTACGACACATAGCGAAGCTTTACTATATATGATGAATGATTCTGGAATATTGGGCTCTACTATTAAACTTCGTATTCAACAATTGCAACATAAGGAGTAGCTACATCAATCTCCTCTTATCTTGTGACCATATAATAACACTGCCAATTTCAAAGACTGGCTCTCGTGTCTACTTTGCAATTGGAAACAATTGAACCTTTCATTTAATCTGAATGATATACGTCCTAATCTTATTCTTGGAGGGAACACTCCCATCTCGTCATTTATACAACACCAATATAGAGGAATTGCAAAGATTTATGACATTATTCTTTACTTTTTATGGAGTAACTTGTTAATGCAGATGGTAATCAAATGTTAATATTTTACAATTATTGTGTACGATCAGATGTTCCTCATGCGACAAAATACCCAAGTTGGTTTGATACCTTACAGACGGCACTTCTTTCAAACAGTTCTTCTAGAGAGACTGTTACATCTTTTCCTCATGTCCTTTCTTTACGATACGACTTTCCACCACCAATAAAGAATAAAAATAAAAATGTTTACATCTTGGGTTGACACATGGGTGACAACAAATCATTCATAGAACAACTTTTAAAAGTTGATTCGGATCATGTGCATATAATGCATTTCATCCCCACAATTGGTCGTAATCATAAAACTTTATTCACAGAATGCTCTCAATGCTTATATTATGACTCATTAGCTTATGTATCCAAAGGTTTTAGTGTGAAAAGGAAGAAGACTTGTTGCTTTTTCTCTGTTTCTTCCGATTTGTGTTTTTAAATATCTGTTTATCAAAACAAATTAGAACCTGTTCCATATTGTACTTGATCCTTAACTTTAATTAATGACCTTGCATTTGCTAAATTTGTAAAGTCTAATAGACCTAACACTACAATTGTTAATTCACCTTTTACTTCTCCTTTAACTCCTTCGTTCATAGAATCATTCGTATCCCATCATCATGCATAACAATTGTTATTGCTTCGTGACCAATTTTGTTCATCTAAGTATTTAGAATTCTACACTGATGGCTCTCTTGTCAATTTAGGTACATCTTCCTTACGAATGAGTCTGGCTTGAATTCAAACTGCACCAGTTTCTCCTTTGCTTTTTTTGCGTCAACACTTACTTCATCCTTTCCATTATCATCTGTTGCTAAACTCGCTACCATCTTTACCGCAATTTTGGTTGCTTCCCAAAATTGCCAAATCAAAATTTTTACAGACTCCCTTGTGGTAATCTCACAATATAAAAGTATAAAATGCTTTTGAATATTTCACCATCACGACGACCGTTTCTAAAAATTAGTAATATGCATATTTGGCATTGCCTCTTTAAAGTTATTGATGCTTGTTCGTTATCAATTACAATGCACAAAATTAAAGCTCACTCTGGAGACACGTTTAATGAAAAAGTGGACACATTGACGAAAAATGCGCTTAATACACAAGCTCTTCACCTTACCCCTTTTGACCGATCACATCCGTCACTCCACCTTCATCAAATGGCGATTGCTTCACCTATTAGACCAATTATCAAAGAAATCATTCGATCAACACAACTGGCCTCATTTTTAAATCTAGATGTCAACCGTAAATATCTCAGCATGGATATAAACTGGGTTGCGACTGCATTTTACATATCAGATAATATCACCACTTCGACAACAACGTATGAAGCCTCTAAATTAAAAAAGAAAAAGATCTAAAGAATCTTAGAAATGCTTCCCTCATTGAATGTTTTACAGCTACGATACCCTGCGATCTATAATCACTCTTGGCTATGTATTCGTTGTAATACAATGTGTGAAGACTTCAACCATATTTGAACTTGTGCTTCAATTCATCAAGAAATGCATGATATTATCAATATGTCAAAATCATACCTTAAGGATATTACTCAACTTGATGATCTCACTTCAATTGCAAATCACCTTGATATTTGGTCGCTTTCAACTAACTCATTTTGCTCTTTCATCGATTTAATCAAAGGCATTGTTCCCAACAAACTATACTCATTTATTAAATCACAATTTACCTCACACGAAGTTACGATAGCAGCAGTTTACGATTTTATGCACTTTATATTCACTCATACTCATAAAATATGGATGGATCGTTGTTCATTACTCAAAGATTTTGAAAAATCTCAAGACATTACAGATCTCATGAAAAGATCATATACGGAAGCTACTGGTTAACAATTTCGTTCATCTTCTATTAACCTCTCAGCTACAGACTTAATTACTAAGATGATGCGCTTAGGATCACATTAAACAAATTTTTGGTGCAGTAGGGACCAAGCCCTTTTCTTTCTCTGGTTAGTTACTGGAAGATGATGATGTAAATTTTCTTTTATATTTGATTCTGGGAAAGTGCAGGGTTAGTTTTATTTAGAATAGTTTTATGATTATTTTAGATAAAGATTTTTGTAACTTCTGTTTTATGTAATTTTTTTTATTTTATATTATCAATAAAAATTTTGCGAAACTACCACACTTAAAAAAAAAAAAAAAATTAACAAGACGATACTGAAAAACTCTCTCCTATTTATTCCAAAAAAAACCAAAAAAAACAGCAAGCAAAAAACCAAACAACAAGGACGTTCGTCTTCCCCTTTAACAACGCAAAAAACAAAAAAATAAAATACAATGCAAACTGAGGATATTCCTCCAACCCAACAAACTTCGGAGACTCCAGAACAAGTCGTCACCATGGAAGTCGACCCTTCGCCTTCGAAAAAGGCAAAGGAAAAGAAACTTTGGAAGAAACTCCAGAAAAAACCACCATCACTCTTGACGTTAACGCCAGTTTTGACGCATCGGAGAACTTCTTGGACAAAAATACGTCATCAATACAAGCTTTTGAGCGCTAAAAACCTTCTTTCCATAGATATTTTCCCCTCGAAGAATTTTCAGGAACG